GTTTAATGTACTGGTAGCTAGTTGTAATGCTGCTAGTTCTGCTTGTGTGGTGGTCAGCCTGCTGTTTCCACAAAAGTAGAACTAGCGGCACTACAACTAGCTACCAGTACACTAAAAAAAATTATGAATAAAATGTTTTTACTCTGCGGGATCTGCCATCCACGTTTCACAAGCCTATCCACGTTTTCTATGATTTTTAGGCCTGACTCGCCTATTTCGTCGTACAATTGTATCGTTGAAATTAATTTTAATATATAATTATTAATATCGAAGTCCCTCCAAGGTCGAATTACCGACCCTTCCCAGGATGCAATCTCACAACAGTTGACTTGCTCCCGGGCACCTGTTTACTGCTAGATAAATAAGTAAACTTATTTATATAAGTTGTTACAAGAATGTATAAACTCTTGTATATATAAATAAATAAAGGAAACGTGCCCAATCGTTTTTGTTCTGCTCGGGATTCGAACTCAGGATTGTGTTCACATATATATAAGATATATATAAATTGTGTTCACAGAGAAACGGTATATAACAATGAAAAGATTGAAACTAGAATTGTATTTCTTAATTTAATATAAAATTTCTTATAGGCACTGCGTTTGGGAAATACGTTTCGAATATTTAATATTGAACAAGAAAATAGAATCTTATTTAGACAAATCTGAGAGATATCTATATTATTATTTTTATTCAACCTACAACCAATTCATATTCCATGATGCCATGGTTAATACAGGTGATAAAATGTAATGAAATGTTAGTGGACTAAAGTTCATCACAACTGAAAAAATTTAATTCAAGTAAAATAACTCCCTATTGCAAAGTTAATATATTATTTTTGTAAGTATAATTGTTGAAGTTTTTCGAGACTTGAAACATGATACAAAGACCTTAGTCTACTTGTAGATAGGCTCTACTTGTAGATAGGCTAGATAAGTGCTCTATTGCCTGATAATGTTGGTCTAATGGGAACATCTGTGTCATGAATTTTAGGGAATTCAAACAAAATATCTGAAACTGAACTATTATCAAAGGTTTTTGTGTAACTATAGAAAATAGTTTCATAATGGGCTCAAGGACTGAACCCTACAATTCATTTAGCTCAACAAGTTACAGGTCAGAAGAGAATTCAGTTGTGTTAAATTCATTAAGATAGTCCATTAATAAAGTATACCATCAAGTATACGTTTCATATTATAATGAATTATTTACCGGCAATTTTGTGTATATAGCTTTATAATTGTGTACCATCTCATAGTACCATGCTCTATTGTCAGCGCTATGACAGAGAACGTAACTGAACACCAGTTAACTGGGTAACTTGCGGAAATTAATAAAATAATAACATAATATTTTTTATATATTTATATATACAAGAGTTATTAAATTATTTGACAGCCACTAGTACGCGTAGCGTTTCGGGCAGGTCCTTACCTGCCTGAAACGTTCCCTGGAATACGACCCCCACGAAAAATCGTTTAACAACCAAGTACCCATTTTACCGTTGAGTTAAACAGAGGCTACAGTTAAGGATTTGCGCCCAGTAAATCTTCCCCGGCTAGGATACGAACCCAGGACAAAGCCCTCGCGAATCGCCTGTCGAGCGTCTTACCACTACGCCACGGGGACATTAAATTGTGTTACTAGTGTTCCACATATGTCAGTTGCTTAGCTTAGAGACTGTTCTTGTGGTCGGTCTCCAGCCCATTGTTGATGTGACGATGTGCATTGAATTTTGTAACTAGCTCATCAAGATTGTAACTTGCTTAGCTAAATGAATTGTGGGGTTCAGTCCCCGAGCCCATTATGTGCCTCTGTAACCCTTTCCACTACCGCCCACAAGATGGGGATGGGGTGCATAATAAATGAACTAAACTAAAATTTATGTGAATTGGTCGTTTTCTGTAAACATATTTTGCTTAGATGCGGGAAACCTTAAAATTGGCGCGTGTGACTATTACTTTTAAACAGGATCGGAAGATTCGTTGCCTGACACAGGTTGCAAATGCTCTCGCTCTTCTGCGGTTTGGTAGTGTAGTGGAGTTCTTTCTCTACTCGCACTCAGGAATAATTTGTAATCCGGGCGGGATTACAAATCATTTGGCACGGTTCCTTTCACCTACTGCCTCTGTTCACCTAGCAGTAAATAGGTATCCGGCAGTTAGTCAACTGTTGTGGGGGTTGCATCCTGGACGGGTCAGTAAGGGATATATATATATATATATATATATATATATATATATATATATATATATATATATATATATATATAAAATATTATTGTAATTATGCATCAACTCGTCTTCAGACCGAGTCCATTCCATCCAGCGGTTGACCCCAACGACGCAGTCATAAATTTTAACTTTCTGTTTATTCAAAACAACTTTTCTCAAATATAAATTAATATTGTTATATATTACCATATTGTGCATATTTAGGCACGGGTTAGGTTAGGTGTTTAGGTTCTGTTGGCAATTATTGATATTTGTAGTACGTGGGTGAAGCATTTACAGCGTTGTGGTTCGAATAAAAGTCGTCAGCGAAGCACTTGGTCCGGAAGTGTTCGGACGTCTTCATTTGTGAGTTGTGTGTAAACCGTTTCTCATTAATAAACAGGGGGGGGGGGGGTTTGGCGGGTGCATAGAATGGACTTAGGGTCATTGTTTTGGCGGACAGGCTGATGCATATACATTGTGTTTCGGTTCCATTGCTTCAACACTTGCGGTAACTGGAAGACCATAGATGAAACACATGGAAGACGGTAATCTATTACCCTTTTTTTAAAGGTGAATATAGTCTTTGTTTATTATAAATTATATATTTGACTGCAAATTAATGAGTCGAGTTTATATTACAGTTGCTAGATTCTTAACTTAAATAACCCCTGAAAGTTGGAGTAACAATTATTTGCGGTTTCTGTCGACCTGCAAAACACGCGAAAGAGAATGACTAGAATTGGAGCGTTGGTGGTTTAGCGGAGTCAGCCCGGGACCTGACCGCAGACTGGGGCTGTGTTGCCACCTGCGGTACAAGTGTGTGCCAAAACGGTACAGTTTCAAGCTACCGGGACTGTTGGCCTATATTATAAAAAATGTATACAACAAAATCTGTGCATTATGCAGATCATTCCTTTTGAATTACTTGAGGAGAGGTATAAAGATTTTCACCTTCTTTGGTTAAGTGCTTAATACCACACTAGTTTCTGTAGCAGTTATCAAAGCAAGATTATATATATATATATATATATATATATATATATATATATATATATATATATATATATATATATATATATATATATATATATTATATAAGTATATAATATATATATTATATATATATATAAGTATATATATATATATATATATATATATATATATATAAGTATATTTTGGTAGCAGTCTGTCTTATAAACAAATGTTATTGAATATGACCGAAAGGGTAAGATTAATGATTCTAACACAAATCTTCATAATATTTCTTATATTTTTCTTCACTGCCGAGGGAAGTTGAAAAATTAACTCTCCAAAGTTCATTTTCACACTTTATTATGGTCTGGCACCTAGGGATGCGTTTTGCAAGGTACTCCTTACATTTCACTGTGTTATCCCCACAATGTCTGCGGGGATAACGTTTCTATCAATAAAATCTTTCAGTACTTTTTCCTCCGTTTTATAAGCAGTCGAAAAGAAGTTTCTGTAAAACAATCTAATAGGAGGTACAGGTGTTGTGATGGTTTCTTCATTTAAACATTTCTTGTTTAAATATATATATATATATATATATATATATATATATATATATATATATATATATATATATATATATATATATGTGTGTTTAAGTTGCATATATATTTAACAACAAAGCTTTGAGGAACACCATTTACTAGAGTCTCTTACTTAGACTTAACTCTGTTTAGGCTATCTCTCTGCATTCAATGAAGCAACCAAACCCTAATTCAACTTAGGATATCCCTCCCAGTACAGTGGGTCTCTAAATTTCTACGCAGTGTGTCATGAGGCATAGTATCGAATCCCTTGCTAAAGTCTCGCTATATAATGTTACAATCCTATAAGCTATCAACTGTGTGAAATATACTGGCAAAGAAGGAAAGTAAATTGATTAAACATGAGCGCCCCTTGGTAAAAACCATGTTGTGATTATTTTATTAATCTGAGTTTTGAAGATATAAATTAATGGTATGTGGAAATATCGCTTTAAACAGTTCTCATATAATAAGCGCTAAGCTAATTGAACGATAGTTGACTTAAGTGATCTATTTCCGTTTTTAAAAATCAGCACCACATGTGCAACCCTCCGTGATTCTGACACTGCTTGAATCTAAGGATTTATTAAATATGCAAGACCAGGGGGGGGGGGCTCGTTAAGCCCATCTTTGCATTCTTTCGTCACTCAAGAAAATACTTCGTCTGGTCCTAGAAACTTTGACTAAATTTTTTTTATTTGTGTAATAAGTTCGTCTGTGGCAACCTCTATATTAGCCAACGTGTCGTCTTCACCACCTGTATAGATTTGTTCAGCTGCAAGGATCATATAAGGTTCCCAAGTGCACACGGAGACAAAGTACTGATTTCAAGTACTGTTGATTTGTGTCTCATCAGTTATATACCTGATCTGTCTCAGTTTTGGATGACCCAGCCTTCTTCAGAGTACTTGTTTGATACATCTGAAAAAATGGATTTGTCTTTGCCCTGTTATAACTACTTCACGGTTTCTTTTTCAATTCTCAAGTCTTTCTTTAACATTTATATATATAGTTTGACCAATTTTTATTCTAGATTGACTTCCTCATTCTTATTCCTTTTGTAAACAGGTTTTTTTTTCACCCAATGAGGTTCTTCAGTCTCACTGTTATCCATTTGGGTTCATTGTAATCTGACTTAGTCAATCTATATGGTATTCTGCCTTCCTATACTTTACTAAGAATAGCTTTAAATCAGTTGTATTTTGAATCTGCATCGTAATGTATCGTTATGTCGCCCACCACTGGAGTACCATCACGTTCCAAGAACAGCCTACAGACCATTTTATTAAGGTCGCCCAGCGCAATGCAACCAGTAAGACCCAACAATATTCCATGCGGGAGAGCACCAGTGCTTTGGGGAATATTATCAGTGGTGAGGCTTTCCTCTGTTTTGACTGTCCTTATTATCCATCGAATCATTTTCCTTGCTGCTGCTATTTTTGCTTCATTGTTCTCTAAACGTTAGTTCTTCTGACATTTGTCCAAGGTTATTGACTTGGTCTCTGCCTTTTATAAGATCTGACTTTTTTGCATCATGCGTTCCCATTTAAGCAGTGAAAAATTATTAATACATTATATTATTACGAAATCACGAGTTATGTTTAAGAAAGTTTTGTTGATTATTTTCATAATTAAATTAATAATACTTGTTTATTTTTACTTTTATTTTTTTTTTCAACACTGAGTTCAGGCGACGTAATTTCACAAATAATAAATTCGTTCCGGCTGGCTGGATATGGTGAAGCACTTATATTTTTTGAGGACTGATGTATGAAATTTTTTACTTTAGTTTTTCATACACAGTATACATGTCGGCTGCATAAAACGAATGAGTTAATTACCAAACTGCTTCATGTATATACCAATAAAATATTACCAGGTATCATTAGTAAGAAAACGCATGGGAAATCCTAAAAATGCTTCCATACAAGTTAATATTAAACAAAGAACTCAATCTTTATAAATGTGAGTTAAGCAACGTGATGAATGTGAGGTTCCACGTGCTGAGAGTGAATGTGAGGTTAAACGTGCTGAGAGTGAATGTGATGAATGTGAGGTTCCACGTGCTGAGAGTGAATGTGAGGTTCCACGTGCTGAGAGTGAATGTGAGGTTCCACGTGCTGAGAGTGAATGTGAGGTTCCACGTGCTGAGAGTGAATGTGAGGTTCCACGTGCTGAGAGTGAATGTGATGAATGTGAGGTTCCACGTGCTGAGAGTGAATGTGAGGTTCCACGTGCTGAGAGTGAATGTGAGGTTCCACGTGCTGAGAGTGAATGTGAGGTTCCACGTGCTGAGAGTGAAAGTGAGGTTCCACGTGCTGAGAGTGAACGTGATGAATGTGAGGTTCCACGTGCTGAGAGTGAATGTGAGGTTCCACGTGCTGAGAGTGAATGTGAGGTTCCACGTGCTGAGAGTGAATGTGAGGTTCCCCGTGCTGAGAGTGAATGTGAGGTTCCACGTGCTGAGAGTGAATGTGAGGTTCCACGTGCTGAGAGTGAATGTGAGGTTCCACGTGCTGAGAGTGAATGTGATGAATGTGAGGTTCCACGTGCTGAGAGTGAACGTGATGAATGTGAGGTTCCACGTGCTGAGAGTGAACGTGATGAATGTGAGGTTCCACGTGCTGAGAGTGAACGTGATGAATGTGAGGTTCCACGTGCTGAGAGTGAACGTGATGAATGTGAGGTTCCACGTGCTGAGAGTGAACGTGATGAATGTGAGGTTCCACGTGCTGAGAGTGAACGTGATGAATGTGAGGTTCCACGTGCTGAGAGTGAACGTGATGAATGTGAGGTTCCACGTGCTGAGAGTGAACGTGATGAATGTGAGGTTCCACGTGCTGAGAGTGAACGTGATGAATGTGAGGTTCCACGTGCTGAGAGTGAATGTGATGAATGTGAGGTTCCACGTGCTGAGAGTGAACGTGATGAATGTGAGGTTCCACGTGCTGAGAGTGAACGTGATGAATGTGAGGTTCCACGTGCTGAGAGTGAACGTGATGAATGTGAGGTTCCACGTGCTGAGAGTGAACGTGATGAATGTGAGGTTCCACGTGCTGAGAGAGAACGTGATGAATGTGAGGTTCCACGCGCTGAGAGTGAACGTGATGAATGTGAGGTTCCACGTGCTGAGAGTGAACGTGATGAATGTGAGGTTCCACGTGCTGAGAGTGAACGTGATGAATGTGAGGTTCCACGTGCTGAGAGTGAACGTGATGAATGTGAGGTTCCACGTGCTGAGAGTGAACGTGATGAATGTGAGGTTCCACGTGCTGAGAGTGAACGTGATGAATGTGAGGTTCCACGCGCTGAGAGTGAACGTGATGAATGTGAGGTTCCACGTGCTGAGAGTGAACTGGGTGGATGCTGGCCTCATCAGGGCCGCCCTATCCCTGTTGACAAGTCACATGTGGTAAACACGTTCTTGCTTCTGCCTGCTATACATGTGGTAAACACGTTCTTGCTTCTGCCTGCTATACATGTGGTAAACACGTTCTTGCTTCTTCCTGCTACCATTCAGCAGTGAAACCTGTAGCTTGTCACAAGGTGATTCTCCCACAGTTAACGATGCTATCACAATGTGACCAAAATATTGTAACTGAACAGACTGGTAACTATCACATGTATAACGATTATAGGATAAATGAAAACATATTCAAACAGAATGTTTATTCAATAATACTGAAAAAAATAAGTTACAAATAAATAATTTAAATTACTAAGAATAAATCTGGCAGCAGCGAGTGTACTTCTCAAATGGTGAGTATACTTAGCCAGCCGTGATTATACCTTGCCAGTAGTGAGAATACCCCACCAACAGTACGTATACCCCACCAGGAGTATACCCTACCAGCAGTGAGCATACGTTACCAGTAGTGAGCATACCCTACTAGTAGTGAGTATTCCATACCCTACTAGTAGTGAGTATTCCATACCCGTAGTGAGTATACGTTACCAGTAGTGAGTATACCCTACCAGTAGTGAGTATACCCTACCAGTAGTGAGTATCCCCCACCAGCGGTGTGAAAAAAGATCATTCACGTTTAATAAAGAACCTAACCTGGAATAAATTGGGTGTCCAGCGAGAGAATGGTCAATAAGTCGTCTACTAGAAGGCGATTAATTATCGTGTCCATAAGTTCAGTATTCACAATGACGAGAAATATATAGAATACGCCGCTTCAGATAGCGACAGGTCTCGTTACGCTTGGCTGTGTAAGAACATATATATATATATATATATATATATATATATATATATATATATATATATATATATATATATATATATATATATATATATATATATATATATATATATATATATATGTCGTACCTAGTAGCCAGAATGCACTTCTTAGCCTACTATGCAAGGCCAAATTTGCCTAATAAGCCAAGTTTTCCTGAATTAATATATTTTCTATAATTTTTTTCTTATGAAATGATAAAGCTACCCATTTCATTATGTATGAGGTCAATGTTTTTTTATTGGAGTTAAAATTAACGTAGATATATGACCGAACCTAACCAACCCTACCTAACCTAACCTAACCTATCTTTATAGGTTAGGTTAGGTTAGGTAGTAGAGAAAGTTAGGTTAGGTTAGGTTAGGTAGGTTAGGTAGTCGAAAAACAATTAATTCATGAAAACTTGGCTTATTAGGCAAATCGGGCCTTGCATAGTAGGCTGAGAAGTGAGTTCTGGCTACTAGGTACGACATATATATATATATATATATATATATATATATATATATATATATATATATATATATATATATATATATATATTTTAGAGAGAGAGAGAGAGCTAAACATTGTGTTCGTAAGTGTAATCAAGATTAGATCAAATAGATCTGGCTTACCAGTGGTGTTCGCGGTAAACAAAACACAAGAAGGGGGAATTCTCTTCCTAGAGCGGCCGTGGGACTCGCTGTCGTCGGTTCGAATCCCACTTCAATTAAAACAAGATTGATGACTAAACATTTGAAAGGGGTCAGCTGACATTGAAGTTAATTAACACAGCAACGAAACGCTTTTGAAGAGTTGATTATATATATATATATATATATATATATATATATATATATATATATATATATATATATATATATATATATATATATATATATATATAATGTTTAGGGATGCATTATAAATTATTTAGATATGTAAGTACACACACACACACACACACACAATTAACACTCATAAACACACTCAAATATACACAAACACACAAAACATATTAGCCGTCGACTGTGTTTATAAAATATGGTCACTATTCTTCAGTACTTTTTGGAACATATCAAATCCAGACACATCCCAAGAGCGTCACAAACGTCTATAAATATATATCACAAAGTTCTAAACATTTTCCATAAACGTCTTCAGTTTTAAACTGTCGTTGTTATTCGGTCTTTAGATTGTTCATTCACAAATGAGAAAGATTCGTGACAATATAACTGATCGGTCAGAAATCTGAACCAAGGTGATTGTCACTAGCTTGCTAGTGCTGCACTAGAGTGCTGTCTCCTTGCGATAAGTAGTTAGTCCATCGTCAGTGATTTGCCTCGTTTTCTTAGTATGGTGTAGTTGAGTCATGTCATCTGTTATTATTTTAGTCTGTCTTCCAAGTGTTTTCGTAAGTCCGGGGATTCTAGTCTTCGAAGTCCAAGAATTCTAATCTTCGAAGTCCAAGAATTCTAGTCTTCGAAGTCCAAGAATTCTAATCTTCGAAGTCCAAGAATTCTAATCATCGAAGTCCAGGAATTCTAGCCTTCGAAGTCCAAGAATTCTAATTTTTGAAGTCCAAGAATTGTAGTCTTGAATTACCTAAGGTTATTAAGTATGCTAAAGAGTTATAATGTGTTCGTCAGTTAAGTCTTAGACAGCATATCTATCTTTAAGACGTCTGCCTTGAAATCCTTGTCTTGTAAAGTTACTTAAGTTATCTGGAACAAGAGTCAGTTTGTTTAAAAATAGTTTAATTAAAAATTTTTGTTTGCAGCCACGACGAGAATGTAAGATTAAAATCCGCTTTGTGTTTTGAAAAGTCTTCTAACAGGCACTAGACTATATTTTAAGTCGTCTCTAACACGTGCCAGTTTGTTAAGTGTGAAGTCTTCTATAACAGGTGACAGGCTGTCAAGTTTCAAGTCTTCTATAACTAGTCCCAGGCTGTCAAGTTTTATGTCTTCTTTAGCGGGTGACAGTTTGTCAAAGTTATTATGTCTTCTTTTACAATGACTAATATGTCAAGTTGCTTTAAGTCATCTCTGACAGACATTAAGCTATCAAGAGTTTAAGTCCTGTGTAGCTGGCGAAAGTTTTCCAAGTTTAGTTAAGTCTAACCAAAGTATGTTAAGTCTAACATACTAAAAGGTGTCAAGTTGTTCCAAGTCTTTTCTATCAAGTGTTAGTTTGTCATGTCTTTAAGTCATCTGTTTTGCCAAGTTTCATGTCTTATGTAATACGGGATAGTCTGTATAAAATTTAAATCCTCTTTAATAGGATTGACTCCTTTGATTCAATCCTATTTCATCCCAATTGATTCAAAAGGTTTGAATCCTTTCTAATAAATACTCTTAAAGTTTGTCAAGTTTGAAGTCTTCGGTAAAGGGTGCTACGTCTTAAAGTTTAAAGTCCTTCTATATAAATGCCAACACGTAGTAAAGATAAATGTTTCAGTAATACGCGTTGATTTGTCAAGTTAGTTAAGTCATCTCTCCCACACGCTAGCCAAGACTTAAGCTTAGTAGTCAGTAGTGTGTCAAGTTCTGTATAAGTCTTAACTGACAGGTATCAGTTTATTTAGTTATAAGTCCTCTTTTGTGGCCACCCTGTTTGTCAAGTTTGGTTAAGTTCTAACAGTTCCCAGCACAGTATGTCACGTATCAGTTTGTAAAGTTCTAAGTCTTTTACTAACTGGCATTGTTTGTCCAGTGATGTTAAGTCTTTTAAACAAACACCTGTTTGCTAAGTTTTCTTATATCTTCTCTAAAGAAAACAGTAGCCCTGTCAAGCTTAAAGTCTTCTCTAATAATTCGAAGACTGTCAAGTTTTAAGTCTTATCCAACAGGTTCCAATATGTCAAACTTTCAGTCTTATCTAACAAGTTCCAATTCATTAAATTTTATTAATGTGTTTATAACGGGCGTCAGATCGTTATGTTTTTGTCTTAAAGTCTTTGTACCTAAGTTTTAAGTCTAAATTCACGTTTTTAAGTATTTGTCTCTGTCGTCATTTACAACATTGCGTCAAAATCTTTAACTGTCATTGTTCCCGTCGATTGAAGTCCGAGTCATTATTTCTAAGGTCTGTTTTCTCCTCCTTTGTCTCTTATATTTGTTATATGTCTACTATATACTTAGTCTTTTTTTGTGTTCAGTAATTATTTGGTTGTATTCTTTGTAGTCGTGACTGTCTTATCTTGTATCTTAATCTTTCTTGAAGCAGCGAGTATAACACCCTTTGCTCTCCTTCGCGCATGCGTACGGCAGTCTGCTGTAAGCGAGGTCGAACGAACGTCAGAGAGGGCGAGTGACGTCAGTCGTTATGGTGAGCTAGTATGAAGTCGAAGTCACTCTCACGTGTACATTAGTGGTCCTTGTATGGTCGGAATTTGGAGCTTCTTCCGTCTCTGACCGTCGTAATGCTCCAGTTATCCGGTATATTTGAGTCTTCAAGTGCCGTCTTAATACCGCAGTTACCCGTCATATCTGAGGCCCAGTACATGAAGGGGCTTACTAATGGTCGGGCACAATCTGTCAGGCGTCGCAGCAATGCAGTCATCAGCAGCGTCGCCAAGCGGACTCTTACCTGCTGCTATCCTTCCCGCGCGCGGACTAGTCATCGTCGATATCACTGTACTTGGAGATCGCATTGGACACCATCTTGGTGAGGAGCTGGTAGGTGGAAGGCGAGGAGAACCCTCTGTCCTCCCCCATGGACCTCTTGCTGTATCCGCCGGCGCCTGACGCAGCGGACTCGTAGGTCTGGTAGGTCGAGGCGCCGCCAGTACCCCCGTAGGAAGGTACTGCGGCGTAGATAGCCTCGCCAGTACCAGTCTCTCCATACTCACTAATTTTCTTAATATGACCTGTAACGAACCAAAGACTGTTAGGTTGCCTAAGAAAAAAAGGTAGAATTCGAAAGCCTAATGAGGAAATATATGTGAAATACTATATTATCATTATCAGAGCAAATGCCATGGATTATATAATGGTAAATCTTAAACTGTCGTACGTAGTCAGTGTAATTGTTATACCAGAAACAGAGTGGTGTACATACCCAGTATAATAGCTACCAGGATCAGAATTGCGATTTCCACTCCTAGGATGGGCAGGAGAAAAAAGCCGGTGCCGAGGCTGCCAATACCCCCGGCCAGTCCACCAAGACCTCCTAAGCCGCCCAGGCCGCCCAGGCCACCAAGTCCACCCAAGCCGCCGTCGGCGCCTCCTGTACCCGTCGCTATGAAGGTGCCAGGATCACCCAGAGTACCAAGAGAGGCGGAGACTGTGGGAGTCTTGCTGCCGCCATGACAAGTGACGCAGCTTCGTCCATCCTGCGTCTCGTCCTCCGGCGCTAACTCCACCTTGAAGGTTTTGAAGTTTCTCAGTAATACTGTCACTCTTTCAGCTGTGGAGCTTCGGTAAGTTTTATAATATAATGTGCGTCATTCAGACCAAAGAAAACTATGCAAATGGATCTTATAGGCCCATAGTATTTAATGGGAATTTGAACCTACAAATGGGTCGTTATTGATTATAAACTAGTAGAGGATTTAAGACGAACCTGATTCGCTGAGTTGGAGTAGGGTTCTGCCAGCGATGAACCAATCAGCAACGCCCCAGTGAGAATGAGAGTTAACCAAGACATCTGAAAGGAAGTACACGAGTTATGGTATGACATAAGATAACCTGGAGGTCCTAGCTGGGGTTCTAGCTGGGATGCTTTCAGGGGTTCTATCTAGGAGCCTTCTGGGGTCTAGGGTGATGCTCCATGAATTCTGAAGGAGAATAAAGCGAACACTTTCTGACACAAGTGCTCGCCAGCAGGTGATGTTGGGTTATAAACCTGGACTAGTAGGGTGTGTGTGCTCACCTATTTGTGCCTGCAGGCTCAAACTCTAGCTCTTGGACCCCGTCTTTCTAGCCGTTGGTTGTCAAATGCAATGACTCCTGATCTATTTCCCTATCATACCTGCTTCATAGTTATGAATGGAGTTAGCCTCTGCAATCTTCTCCTTTAGGTCATTTCATTTACTCACTACCTTTACGCTAAAGGAAAACTTTCTAACATCTCTATGACACATCTGAGTCTCAAGCTACCGTACTTGCCCCCTTGTTCTGTTGATATTCATTGTAAACATTTCCTCTGTTTCTACCTTGTCAATCTTTCTAAGTATTTTATACGTCTGTATTATGTCCCTTCTGTCCCTCCTCCTTTTTAACGGGGTCAGGTTTAGTTCTTTCCAACCACTTGGGCTGGAGGGTAGAACGACGGTTTCACTTCATGCAGATCGGCGTTCAATCCCCGACCGTCCAAGTGGTTGGGCATCATTCCTTTCTCCCGTTCCATCCTAAATCCTTATCCTGACCCCTTCCAAGTGCTATATAGTCGTAATGACTTAGCGCTTTCCCCTGATAATCCTCCCCTTCCTTCAGTCTGTCTTCGTACCTCATCCCTCGCAGCTCTGAGACGAGTCGCGTTGCAAACTTTTGCACCTTTTCGAGCTTCCTTATATGTTTTCCAGTTGGGGACTCCAAGATGGGGCGGCATATTCTAAGATTGGCCTCACATAGGCGGTATATAGTGTTCTAAAAGCCTTCTTATTCAAGTTTCTGAAGGATATTCTGACTTTTCCGTGTGCCACTGTTGCTGGTCTCTACAGTGCCTCTATGCATGCTTTATTGTTGTCTTCATATTCCTGCCCGGGTCTTCTGTTGTAAATTACCAGCACCACAATTATTTTTCCATCTGCTGACAGTGTCCCAATGATGGAGTCTGTGTTTACGTTTTCACTTCGATTCTTGAGTGCTTCCAACTTCCACTCCCGTTTTACTAGGAGTAAACTCCTTCTCCTTGTCTTTATCTTTCTTTATCACTTAGACCCCCCTGGGAACAGATATAAGTTTGTGTGTGTGTGTGTGTGTGTGTGTGTGTGTGTGTGTGTGTGTGTGTGTGTGTGTGTGTGTGTGTGTGTGTGTGTGTGTGTGTGTGTGTGTGTGTGAAGGAACCAGTATAGAGTGCAGAAACAGAGGAGTGAGTAAGACAAACACACGGGCGAGTGGGGGAATATATTCGTGGAAGTCCCGCAGAGTTCGCCAGACCGTCGCCCACTCTTATAATAATTCAGATGACGCGCACGTAACCTAACTGTGGTGTGAGGGTGAAGGATCCGTGGTAAAGATGCAGTTTACATCCGGCATCCAGGGAGCCGGATGTGTCGGAGGGAGGTGGAGGGGAGACGGCTAGTGTGGCGGATGGAGGGGGGGGGAGGGAGTAATGGGACTATCCTGGTGAAGGAGGATGGAACCTGGTGAGTGGGAGGAGAACGCTGGTGGTGGGGATGGTGGTGGAGAGGGAGGAGGGGGGTGGGGAGGGGGTGGGGATGGCTGGGGGGGGAGAGGGGGGGGGGGTAAGAGCACAGGTCGACAGTTGTGGATGTAATAATAAATTAGAAACCTCATGACGGAGCATTTACACAAATGTATTCGTCCCACATCCGGAGAGTAAAGGCACGACCAAGGTGGCTAGTACTGGTATGTGTTGGGTACGAGGACCTTCCTGGGACCTTCCTGGGACCTTCCTCGTTTTGATTTTGAGTTTATTGTACACCCCATACTCATCCTGTGAGCGGTAGCGCAAAAAGAATTACAGAGGGCACAAAAAGTCTTAATCAGACCTCAAGGAAGATTATTACCCTAACAATTTTATCTATCATACACTCCTTATAATTACAATGTCAGCTAGTTACAGAGAATGTTCTGTTTCAAGACCTATATATTTACAATAAGTCATTATACATTAATGGTAGGTCTTATGGCTAATACATAATTGTTTGAGCAATGGAGATATTACAGAGTCATCGGGGAGCTGCTGTTTATTATTAGTCTTCACAATACACTATTTGTTTCTTAATCTCATATGTCGGTTATCTACTGGAAGCGAAATATGGATACAGTGCAAGGATTTCTAGTATTTTATCCTTAGTAATAAGATGGTTTGCCATTTCATGCAACGTGAGTTTAGATTTATCTCTAAATGGCTCAATTTTACAACAATCCAAGATATAGTGTTCGAGTGTGTGTCCCTGTCTTTGTCCACACACTATGGACTTAACTTCATCTAGATCCCTATACAAGCCGAACTGCCAGAGATACTTGTAGCCAAGTCTTATTCGAGCTGTGACAACGTCTGTTAGTCTGCTGATGATGTTACTTGCCTCATACACATGTTTTACTTCACACATTTCATTGTGATGAACAATGGACTGTTAGTTCAAGTTTGTACTGTTCTACTTTCTTCAAATTCATCCAAGAATTCTCGTCAAATGACACTTTTAAGGGACCTATTTGATAACTCAAGATTCCGTTCAACACTTGTCTTTATTTGCTGCAGTATGAGATCCTTCCGGGTAGATGGATGTGCGCGATATGAGGTTAGGTTAGGTTAGGTTAGGTTACGAAAGGTTATATTAGGTTAGGTTAGGTTATTTCAGGTTACGATAGGTTAGGTTAGGTTACGATAGGTTATTTTAGATTAGGTTATTTTAGGTTACTATATGCTAGGTTGGGTTATATTAGGTTACTATATGCTAGGTTGGGTTATATTAGGTTACTATATGCTAGGTTGGGTTATATTAGGTTACGATAGGTTAGGTTAGGTTACTGTTAAATATATATAGGGCATAAGTGAGTGAATTGTTATGTGTGAGGATAACAAAGAGAGGTAATAAAGAAGGATAACATGTACACATATTCCTAACCTGTGTACTCACATGCAGGCGACCAGAGTACAGTGTGGGCTGACCTGCAGGGGCTCCACAGGGGGAAAATGTCTTGACGGACCGTCTTAGCAGTAAGAGTAAGGAGGCGGATAGGTTAAAGAAATTATATAAAAGGGGGAGGAGGGGAGAGGGGGATTGAGAGGAAGGGGAGGAGATAGTAGGGGTGAACCATCACCTGCGCCACAATCCCCCCCCCCACCCCAGACTACCATACTCCCCCCTCTCCCCCCCCCTAACAATAACGAAGGCTAACCACCTCATTAGTATACGCCGGAACATCGTAATGACTCGTTACACCGTTGTGAATTGGCCTCGAGGAACTGGTAGAGGGATGGGGGGTACTAGTAGATCTACCGCAATATAGTACACTGCTAAGAAATTGAGTACGTGACTTCCTGTTGTATGTTAGCTGCACAGCTTTCAATATTTTCTTTGGGGTGACTCAAGAGAATATTGTAAGTTGAACGCTGACTACAATGGACGGGTGAGGAATGGGAATGCAAGCAGGAAGGTTACTACAGCAGTTAGTTCGTGCCATCGTGGTACAACCTGGACCATTGTGGTACAACCTGGCCATCGTGGTACAACCTGGGCCATTGTGGTACAACCTGACCATTGTGGTACAACCTGGCCATTGTGGTACAACCTGGGCCATTGTGGTACAGCCTGGCCATTGTGGTACAACATGGGCCATTGTGGTACAACCTGGCCATTGTGGTACAACCTGGCCATTGTTGGCCAGGTTGTACCACAATGTAAGCACATTAAGAGAGGTCCTCTGTGTGAACACCAGAGATCCATACGGCTGTTCTATTGCATTCCAGCATAGGAAATATTCCCGGTACAAAGTTGGACGTCTTCAAGAAGCAACTAGTCAAGTTCTTGCAAGAGGTGCCGGACCAACCGGCCTGTTATAGTGAGTTATGTGGGGCCTGCGGGCCGCTCCAAGCAACGACAGCGTGTTGGACCAAGTTATATAACCTGGCCTCAGGTTATGTAACCTGAGATGGCTCATATATGGCTTGGACATATATGGCTTGGACAGTAAAAAAGAGCTCCCGGAATCCTCCTCGAGCTGGTAGAACCTGATCATTGTGGTACAAGAGGCTCATTGTACCACAAGAGACACATTGTACCCCAGGATGACACATACGACAGACACGTAATGTGTCTTACTAGTGATCGCTTATGTGTTGTCCATCAAAAGCCCCCCCCCCCCAAAAAAAAAAAATAAAAATCTTAAAGCCGACGAAGAAACATGAATATTTTCAGGGCGTAGTGAGGGTCGGGTCAAGATAATGACTTCCTCTTGTTGTAGACAACAACAATATTTGCTCCTTTGAAATGTTCTGCCTTTTTTTTTTGGCAAGATAAATTCTCTCAGGAAATTCTTAACAAGATTTAGATGTTTTTCCTAAACAAGGAGAATGCGTTTTAATTTTCTCAGTTGTATATATTTTTTAATTCCTACTGTCGGGACAGGAAGCCTATTCTTAGGTCTATCGAGGATTTTCCTCCAGAACAGTTACTGTCTATTCCCCCGGACGATCCCTAAGATAGTTTGCCTATAATACCTTGGTACCTATTGACTATTTGGTGAAGCGAGGCATTGGTTAAAAAAGAAACGTGCCCAATCGTTTCTGTCCTCGCAGTCCTAAGACACAGGACTACTGGTGGCCACCTGGACACAGGAGCTCAAGCTTCTGAGCCAAGAGACGTCATATTGTCTCAGTAGATAAGATCTACGACAAAATGAACAGTAAACATTTGTATAACCCTGTGCATGGCTGCAGCATACTAATACACCCTTGTATGATCTGGTGTATGACCCCAGCATACCAAGACATGCTTTCTGCATCAGCTCAAG